CGTAGACCCCCCCGCGCCTCGGGTTCCCCTCGCCCCTCACCCCCCCCTCAGATGACCATGGCTTTGAACCGGCCTATACACTTTACTCTTGAACTCCTATTGGGCTGTGATGCAAACTCCCACCATATAGGGTGGGGGAGCACGAACATAAACCCGAGGGGAGAGAGCCTCCTTGTGGAATGAATTTGTATTCATTATGGGCGCCGGTTTGATGATCCTAAACAGAGGAACGGTATCCACCTTCATGGACTGCAGAAGACAAGAAGTATTAGACATCACCATCAGTACTGGGGGACTGGCGGACCTGGTGCGGGACTGGAGAGTATCTGGGGAGCCCTCGGGCTCTGACCACAGGCAGGTTCGCTACGATCTCCGACATATGGTAAATAAAGAATGGGGTCGAAACCCAAGGACTACAAACTGGGAAGGCTATAGGATGGACCTGGAGGCCATCCTGAAGAAAGCCCCGAACAGATTTCACTCAGAAGAAAATCTTGAATACGCGGCGCAGTTTGAAAGTGACGCGATAAAAGAAGCCTATGAAGGAAACTGCCTGGAGAGAACGAAATACTCTACAAGCAAAACTCCCTGGTGGAGCAAGGAGCTTTCAAAGCACAGGTTGGAAGTAAGAAGACTCTTCAATAAACCAAGGAGGAAGAACTCAACAGCCGATTGGGAAGCGTATAGAAAAGCCCAACGCGGCTATAGCAAAGCAATAATCATTGCCAAAAGAAAACTCTGGAGGGATTTCTGTAAAAGCATTGAGAGCGCTTCAGAAGCATCCAGGCTAAACAGAATCCTCAGCAAAGACAATACCCTACGATTGGGATGTCTTAAACTCCCAAACGGAAATTATACCGAGACAGTAGAGGGAAGTTTAAAACACCTCATGTCTACACACTTCCCAGGGTTCCAGGAAAGACACTGTGAACCTCAACAGGAAATCAAGAAACCCGGGGAAAAACATAAACCAAGAGAATGGACACTGGCAGCTAAGATGGTGACTCCTGATGGAGTTGAATGGGCCATCAAGACCTTCGGACCATATAAGACTCCAGGACCAGATGGCATCTAATCTGTTCTACTCAGGGAGGGTTGAAGGGCCCTAGTAGGCCCCATGACGAAAGTGCTCAGGGCTAGCATAGCACTGAGACACGTTCCGAAAGCCTGGAGCAATACCAGAGTGGTATTTATACCAAAACCAGGTAAAAATGGCCATGTGATGGCCAAGGACTACAGACCTATCAGCCTCACATCCTTCATTTTAAAGATGTTGGAGAGGCTCATCGATAGATATCTGAAAGACTTCTATCTTATTGCAAAGCCGCTGAACCCAACCCAGTACGCCTATAGGGAGGGCAGATCTACGGATACTGCCCTGCATCATCTTGTGAGCGGGGTCGAAGTACAGATGGCTGCAAAAGGATATGCAATAGGTGTCTTTATTGAGCTTATACTAGATGTTAGAAATATATATAAATTTATTATAATACCGGTATATACGGACAGTTTCGACTTTACAAAGTCCTCAATAGCCGCAACCGAATACTTAAAATTAATTTTAGTATATTGCGAAGAATATCACAAGTTGGCGTTTCGTCCCGGTTTCCACTACTGGACTCATCAGTAAGGTAATGTAGTGGGAGTCTACCTTAGACGCCTGTTTTAGTTCTTAAATCGAGATTCTGTATATACAGATATGCGCGTATTTCAACACTTGCGAGAAACTTTACGAATATCCATAGACCTCTGCTGGCGAGTCGATGTAGTAATATTCTTTGCAATATTTTTAAGTAATAGACGTTGAAAGGTTCCCCCAAATTGCGCGCCGAACACAGCCGGTCTTTAAAACGCAACTATAATAATTTGAAATAAACTCCCCTTAATTATTTCCCCACGCATTGTGAGACCAGCGTACAACAAATTAAATAAATTAATATCCGCTCAAATAAATTTCCAAATTAAATTTAATATACCTCCCAGGTCAAGAACACATTGAGCTTATACTAGATGTTAGAAATATATATAAATTTATTATAATACCGGTATATACGGACAGTTTCGACTTTACAAAGTCCTCAACAGCCGCAACCGAATACTTAAAATTAATTTTAGTAAATTGCGAAGAATATCACAAATAAGTACCGGTATATTCGTAAAGTTTCTCGCAAGTGCTGAAATACGCGCATATCTGTATATATAGAATCTAGATTTAAGAACTAAAACAGGCGTCTAAGGTAGGCTCCCACTACATTACCTTACTGATGAGTCC